CCATTTAACCCCACAAGCCATTAGTTGTATAGGTTATACAGTATAGCTATCTATCATTTATTTAATGTTGTATTAATTTTTGTTTTATTGTTGTCTACATATTTGACTTTGCATTGATTGTAACATTTTTTAGTTAAATTAAGTTTAAAGCATATATTATTTATATGATTGTTTGCAAAATAAGCTAAAATGTGCATGTTCAATTGTAGTTAATACCAGATTTGAATTGAAAATAACTCGTCAATCATTAGTAAGAATAATACACATAAAAAGTCATATTCTCTTTGGAAAAGATGCATATTTTGTAAAGAAAATAACATTTTTAGGCATTTTGTACTAAAACCCGTGATTGGGATTAAACTTAAATCACCTAACTTTGCATTATGATTCTTTCTTGTAAATCAAAACTTGGTTATATTATATCAAAACATATAATTAATATTATGTACATTTAATAAATATCAACATTTAAGCGATTCATTCGTTATTTATTGTCATATTGTCATAAAACTATAAACAAATAGATATCACATCTCTTATCATACATTTAGACAATTGAATCGCCAAAAAACTAAACAAATAAACCAATTCTTGACAATTAATTACATCTAATAATTCTCGGTTTGCCATCAAAAAACTTTTCCATATAATTATTAGTCATATAATGATATAAATGCATATAAATTAAAAAGGATTAATGAAATATATATTTATAATCCCCACCTCTAACTCCATATTCTGTTATGTACTGTATTTTATATATTTTAGTTTTAGTACACAATATAAATAAAAGCCATGCATTTCTTTATTATATTTAAGATTGATTATAAGTGCAAATAAACCATTTATACAAATCATACGTACAATACATTCCTGTAATTTTGTGATATACATTAATTTTATTGTATATTTATATTCAGTTTAAAACTACAGAAAGTCATTCAATGTTTTATAATGTTTGCCATAAAATAACATAAAATATCAAAAATATTATATTAAATTTTCGTGACTCCTGTTCAGTGTTACCAAACACAACATTAAAACTATTATACTGTGTATTTAACGTAAAATAAAATATAAATGATCAATGTCAGATATACTGTAATGCATGGTGCAGTTAGCTATACAAACTATGATGATAGCAATTAAATTGATAAATATGATCAATTAATAATGCAATTAATATTTGTATCAATTATATATTGTTTGGGTTTCAAACAAATACCACAACACATTAATTTTATACGAAATACAATTTATTAACTTTTCTATGGGTTTAGAAAATAAATTAATAATTTATCTCAAGTAAAACCTTTCATAAATATGTATAATTAATAATTAGTTTTATTTTTGTTTTTAGTTATATAATGCCTAATACTCTATACATTAATACTGTTTTGAAAGCCAACAGATAATAAATAACTCAATAACTATCCATTGAAAAGAAGTTAATTTATTTAATTATATTTTATTCTTTCATGTGTTAAATCCCATAGAAATTGAAGGTAAAGAAAACGTTTCATCTCTCTCTCTCTCTCTCTCTCTCTCTCTCTCTCTCTCTCTCTCTCTCTCTCTC